GCCGGGGGCTAAAATTGCATACGGTCGAGGATTCCTTCCAGATCGATGGCGCCAGGACCGGGAGTCCCGGCTGCGCGCGTAGAGCCGGTCGCGGCACACCAGGGACAGGCGGGAGCCGGAGGGTCAGGCCCCTCCTTCTGCTACACTGGGAACCAACAGCAATTAACTTGGACAATATTTACACATCTCGCTTTGCAATTACTCTGTGTTTAGGAATTATTTGCTAGCTGATAATTTCTGTAAATATTTATTTGTAGAGACAGTGATTTGGCCATCCATTAGGGAATAAAATAGATTTCCTTTTCCCCGTTTGGGCAGCCACTGTTAAAAAGATAATGGTGCCTCTCTTCAGAGATGGAATCACAGAACGGTTTGGGTGGAAAGGGACTTTAAAGACCATCCAGTTCTACCTCCTGCCATGGGCAGGGACACCTTCCACTATCCCAGGTTGCTCCAAGCCCCATCCAACCTGGCCTTGAGCACTTCCAGGGATGAGACATAGAGGGAATAACAGAGGCAGCTGCTTCCCTGGTTTACGAGAAGTCTCAGCCCTGGGGCTGCTCAGGCCTTGTTCCATCTGCTCAGTTCAGATGAGACAGGGCCCTCCAATTCCCAGGTTCACCACGCTGTTCCCAATTCTCTCCGAGACAGGGTAGAAGGGAAAAGCCTAACTTGGAATCATTTGTCCTCTCCTGGTATCTCCAACAGAGACATCAAGAATTTGGTCCTGAGCTGGTGGTGAGTGTCCTTGGCTCGCTCAGATGGAAGGCCCCTGATTAATGAGATGACACTTGGAAGTACAGGAATTTTTGATTACCCTGAGCTGTCACCAAGGATTCCCCCCCAGGAGACGCAGCCCGGGAGGGGTGCTGGGTGCTCCCTGAGCTGCTCCCAGCACTCCTGCAGGTCTCCACCAGGCTTTTGCCATGGGAAGGGATGTTTGCCATGAGGGCAGCCCTGCTCCCACCTCCCCTGTTTGTTCCAGACGGATCCATTGGCAGGATTTCACTACAACCCCCCCCCCCCCGTGGGCTCTGACAGGTAACACTCCATGAAGTGAAAGCAGTAGGAAGCCCTCCCAGCGCCTGGAGCTCTTGTTCTCCCTGCATTTCCCATTTTCCAGGCACGCTGAGCCGTGGCAGCCCTTTGCAGTCAGGCAGACTGTCAGCTTCCCACCACTGCTCCGTCAGCTGCCCCCGGGGAATCGGGAATGGGACGGAAAGCGCAGCTTTCACCAGCCAGCACCGGCACCGCCCTCCTCCCGCCTGACAGCAAATCCCCAGACCCTCCAGGAGGGTTTATTATCCATGTCGCCAGTGTCCCTGCTCTGCAGGCAGTGACTCAGGGAGCAGGATGGATGTGGGAGCCGGGCTGGGAACACACAGGTCAGCGCACGGGGCACGTCCGGCCTCGTTCACGCACAAGTTCTGACTCGTGGTTTTGGCCACTTAATTTCTCTGCCAATAAAGCCACTGACTGAACTCACCCTCCAGGTGTCAATCCCGACTGCCAGTCACCTGCTCCATAGGATAAATCCCGGCAGTGACAATGCTATGGGCTTCGTGTCCAGGTTGGATGGGGCTTGGAGCAACCTGGGCTAGTGGGAGCTGTCCCTGCCCATGGCAGAGGGGCTGGAACTGGCTGAACTTCAAGATCCCCTCCAACCCAGGCCATTCCAGGATTCTATGATCCTACAAGAACAACCATTTAGACCCTATTCTATGAAGAACTACAGGCATGTAAATATTCCCTATGAAGGCACACACCTCCTGATATTTTTGCCTATACTCCCTAAAAACACCAGGCAAACTGCCCCAGGCAGACTGTGAAGCCACACTCGTGCTGCAGGGATAGTCACGGAGCAGCTGTGGTGCAAAAGCACCAGGAAAAACAGCTACGATATCTGAAATTCCCAGGATAGTCATGGAGAGGCTGTGGAATGTGCTAAAGCACCAGGAAAACAGCTACGATATCCGAAATTCCCGTCGTCTCCGGAGACCTGCCGAACGGCTCCGGCTCGCAGTTCCAGGCTCATCCATTGTGAAGACCTCGCCCACAAGGGAGCACCTGTGGCAGATAAAAATCTATCTGACAGCCTTTTCTTTTTGGAGAGCGCCATCCATCCCGAAGGAACGAACCTTTTCCTTCTAATCCATCTGGGCCGTCTCCAAGGGGTGGTGGAACACTTTGTAAAAGGGGGACGTGACCAAAACCACCCTCCAGGCTGAAACTTTGCCATTCCCTCAGCCACTGACACCCCGGGCTCCCCCCGTCCTCAGGCAGCACCAAATCTCTGCTTGAAGTCTGGATTTAGTTATACATGTCAAGTGTCTTTCCCAGTGTGTTTTTCTCAGGAGAAGAGGGGTTGGAATCGAGCATTCTTCGTTAGAATCGGGAATTTTGACAAAATACTTTTCTCCGAGCCTTTGGCCAGTGAAATGATTTAAAGTTTCAGCCAAGCAGGGCAATAAGGGCCTTTTCCCAGCTCAGAGGAATGGCCAGCACAGCCTCTCTGCATTGCTGTTTATGATACACCTCATTTGCTTTAATATAAAGCCAATGCCAAGCCGAAGTTGAAAGTCTGTGAAAGTCACATTTTCCTCCACAGGGGAAGAAAATTTGGATGCCTGGGATATTTTCTGCCCACTCACACCCGCTCAGGTGTCCCCCCAGCCACACTTGTGGCTCCTCTTGGACATCCCCTTGTCATCCTGTGTGCCGTTTGGATAACACCTGGATTCCCCAAAGGCTTTCCTGCAGCCACACCAGCTCCTGCACTCTCTAAGCTCCTTCCTAGAGCTTTTCCATGTTTTTTTTGTCTGTATCACAGGGGATTTCTTACCTCTTCGGGCATCTTCATTACCTGAACGTGCCCACAGCAGTGGGACCCAAAGCAATGCAAGGCCACACGACGAGGCTGCAAAACCCTGTGCTTAATTTCACAGTCCAGTTCCTCAGCCTGGAAGGCAGAACTGTGCCTCTCCTGCATCCTCCAGCCTCACACTGTTCAGCAATTTATACTCATCAACCA